TTAACGCGGTCACTGCAGGTGTCAACGCAGTCACAGCAGGTGTTAACGCAGTCACTGCAGGTGTTAACGCAGTCACAGCAGGTGTTCACGCAGTCACAGCAGGTGTTAACGCAGTCACAGCAGGTGTTAACGCAGTCACAGCAGGTGTTAACGCAGTCACAGCAGGTGTTAACGCAGTCACTGCAGGTGTTAACGCAGTCACAGCAGGTGTTAACGCAGTCACAGCAGGTGTTAACGCAGTCACAGCAGGTGTTAACGCAGTCACAGCAGGTGTTAACGCAGTCACAGCAGGTGTTAACGCAGTCACTGCAGGTGTTAATGCAGTCACAGCAGGTGTTAACGCAGTCACAGCAGGTGTTAACGCAGTCACAGCAGGTGTTAACGCAGTCACAGCAGGTGTTAACGCAGTCACAGCAGGTGTTAACGCTGTCCCTTGCGTAAACACCTGTTTATTGCTTTCAAGTAAGAATATTAACAAATTTCCCATACCCGTGTGTGTGTGTACTCACCTGGTTGTGGTTGTAGGGGTCGAGTCATAGCTCCTGGCCCCGGGTGCATCCATAACTGAAAACAATGGAATAAAACTACGAGGCAGAAAATGTAGTCTAAACGTTTACAATTCCTTCAAACCGAACAGGAGAATTATAGCAGAGAGAAATAAACTACCGAATAATGATGTAAGTGCAGAGAAAATACAGACATTTAAGACACAACTGGACAAATATTTGACAAGTACAGGATTCAACCAGGTATATCGGGCCGCCAAGGCTGTGTGATCGGCCACTTGTAACTCAGTATTCGTCTGTTATCAAGACCGTTGGATCAATGCAAAGTTTTTATGCGTCAGGAAACTTGAGAATGTCATTTTGACCAGTAAGACGTTGGCAAGGACACAGCCATTGACTCCGCATGAATCCCAGGGAGGCAAGCAGGGTGGGAGTAAAGTGTGGGAGGCTAGTAGGATGGGAGGCAGGGTGGGAGTCAGGCTGGGTGGGAGTAAAGTGTGGGAGGCAGGCAGGGTGGGAGGCAGGGTAGGAGGCAGGGTGGCAGGCAGGGTGGGAGCCAGGGTGGGAGTCAGGCTGGGTCGGAGTAAAGTTTGGGAGGCAGGCAGGGTGGGAGGCAGGATGGGAGTCAGGCTGGGTTGGAGTAAAGTGTGGGAGGCTAGTAGGATGGGAGGCAGGGTGGGAGTCAGGCTGGGTGGGAGTAAAGTTTGGGAGGCAGGCAGGGTGGGAGTCAGGCTGGGTGGGAGGTAGGGTGGGAGGCAGGCAGGGTGGGAGGCAGGCTGGGTGGGAGGCAGGCAGGGTGGGAGGCAGGCAGGGTGGGAGGCAGGCAGGGTGGGAGGCAGGCAGGGTGGGAGGCAGGCTGGGTGGGAGGCAGGCAGGGTGGGAGGCAGGCAGGGTGGGAGGCAGGCTGGGTGGGAGGCAGGCAGGGTGGGAGGCAGGGTGGGTGGGAGTAAAGTTTGGGAGGCAGGCAGGGTGGGAGGCAGGCAGGGTGGGAGGCAGGCAGGGTGGGAGGCAGGCAGGGTGGGAGGCAGGGAGGGTGGGAGGCAGGCAGGGTGGGAGGCAGGGTGGGAGGCAGGCAGGGTGGGAGGCAGGGTGGGAGGCAGGCAGGGTGGGAGGCAGGCAGGGTGGGAGGCAGGCAGGGTGGGAGGCAGGCAGGGTGGGAGGCAGGCAGGGTGGGAGGCAGGCAGGGTGGGAGGCAGGCAGGGTGGGAGGCAGGGTGGGAGGCAGGGTGGGAGGCAGGCAGGGTGGGAGGCAGGCAGGGTGGGAGGCAGGCAGGGTGGGAGGCAGGCAGGGTGGGAGGCAGGGTGGGAGGCAGGCAGGGTGGGAGGCAGGCAGGGTGGGAGGCAGGCAGGGTGGGAGGCAGGCAGGGTGGGAGGCAGGGTGGGAGGCAGGGTGGGAGGCAGGCAGGGTGGGAGGCAGGCAGGGTGGGAGGCAGGCAGGGTGGGAGGCAGGGTGGGAGGCAGGGTGGGAGGCAGGGTGGGAGGCAGGGTGGGAGGCAGGCAGGGTGGGAGGCAGGGTGGGAGGAGGCAGGGTGGGAGGCAGGCAGGGTGGGAGGCAGGCAGGGTGGGAGGCAGGGTGGGAGGCAGGCAGGGTGGGAGGCAGGGTGGGAGGCAGGGTGGGAGGCAGGCAGGGTGGGAGGCAGGGTGGGAGGCAGGCAGGGTGGGAGGCAGGGTGGGAGGCAGGCAGGGTGGGAGGCAGGGTGGGAGGCAGGCAGGGTGGGAGGCAGGGTGGGAGGCAGGCAGGGTGGGAGGCAGGCAGGGTGGGAGGCAGGCAGGGTGGGAGGCAGGGTGGGAGGCAGGGTGGGAGGCAGGGTGGGTGTCAGGGTGAGACATTATATACATTCAATAAATGGGGTAACCTGAAGTCAAGAGATTCTTAATGTTAGTTGTGTGGCTACACCAAGACGTTGACATAAGGTAACCCAGCCAAGAACAGTAGTGCAAGACTTAGAATGTTATGATAGACATAGCCGAACTGGTGATAATCAAGGTACAGAACTACTAGTACATGTATCTCTGAAAGTGGCAGTGAAGCAACGAAAGTGGTTCTATCTGGAGAGCGTTAACGCCCCCGCGGCCCAGTTCTTGACCAGGTCCCGCGGCCCAGTTCTTGACCAGGTCCCGCGGCCCAGTTCTTGACCAGGTCCCGCGGCCCAGT